AGTTACAGACTTTGGCATTGATACAAAGTTACAGTCTTTGGCATTGATACAAAGTTACAGTCTTTGGCATTTATACAAAGTTACATTCTTTGGCATCGATACAGAGATCTTTGGCATTGATACAAAGTTACAGTCTTCGGCATCGATACAGAGATATTTGGCATTGATACAAAGATACAGTCTTTGGCATTGATACAAAGATCTTTGGCATTGATACAAAGTTACAGTCTTTGGCATCAATACAAAGTTACAGTCTTGGGCATTGATACAAAGTTACAGTCTTTGGCATCGATACAAAGTTACAGTCTTTGGAAATGATACAAAGTTACAGTCTTTGGCATTGATACAAAGTAACAGTCTTTTGCATTGATACAAAGTTACAGTCTTTGGCATTGATACAAAGTTAGTCTTTGGCATTGATTCAAAGTTACAGTCTTTGGCATTGATACAAAGTTACAGTATTTGGTATCGATACAGAGTTACAGTCTTTGGAAATGATACGGAGATCTTTGGCATTGATACAGAGTTAGTCTTTGGCATTGATACGGAGATCTTTGGCATTGATACAAAGTTACAGTCTTTGGCATTGATACAAAGTTACAGTCTTTGGCATTTATACAAAGTTACAGTATTTGGTATCGATACAGAGTTACAGTCTTTGGCATTGATACGGAGATCGTTGGCATTGATACAAAGTTATAGTCTTTGGTATCGATACAAAGATCTTTGACATTGATACAAAGTTACAGTATTTGGCATCGATACAAAGCTACAGTCTTTGGCATTGCTACAAAATTACAGGTTTTGGCATCTATACAAAGTAATAGTATTTGGCATTGATACAATGTTACAGTCTTTGGCATCGATACAGAGATATTTGGCATTGATACAAAGTTACAGTCTTTGACATCTATACAAAGTTACAGTCTTTGGCATTGATACAAAGTTACAGTCTTTGACATCTATACAAAGTTACAGTCTTTGGCATTTATACAAAGTTACAGTATTTGGTATCGATACAGAGTTACAGTCTATGGCGTTGATACAGAGATCTTTGGCATTGATACAAAGTTACAGTCATTGGCATCGATACAAAGTTACAGTCTATGGCATTGATACAGAGTTAAGGTCTTTGGCATTGATACAAAGTTACAGTATATGACATCGATACAGAGTTACAGTCTTTGACATTGATACAAAGTTACAGTCTTTGGCATTGATACAAAGTTACAGTCTTTGGCATCGATACA